TTTGATTGTAGATCAATGATATGAGTAGGCGAGTGATTCTGCTATTGCAACAGGTAGGTACTTAAAGTTCGGGTCAAGAAGCAGCTGAAGGTGTGATGCGCGAAGCTACTGGGCCTGCTAGCGCCGCGTTGGGCGTCCGCCAAGGCAATTTGCATCGCTACCCGTTTCGGAACATCGCCAAGTCTAGCCGAACCAAACCACTGAGAATTACCCTCCATTCCAATAATAATTAAAGCAAACATTTCGCAGCCGAGACGCACGCCGACGGGCGTTATAGAGCTTATAAAGCATCAGCCTCAGCTCGCAATTAAGAAACGACGCGCGCGCACGTCTATTTAGGAACACACGGAAGAGACGCACCGCTTGCAATGGCCCATCGCGGCCGGCCGCTCCTGCGCCGACCGCCGTCTAAATTAATACCTTTGATATTCGAAATATCAATATTTTAAGGGAGCTTATGAAGTGCGTCGTTGCAGATACGCTCGGGCCTTCCGCGTTGGCAAACCTGACGTTCGCTAACGAACCGAGCGAAGCGAAATCCCAACTAATATTATAAATGCGAAAGTAACTCTGTCTGTCTGTCTGTCTGTCTGTCTGTCTGTCTGTCTGTTACGCTTTCCCGCTTAAACCTCGCAACCGATTTTGATGAAATTTGGCATAGAGATAGTTTGAGTCCCGGGAAAGAACATAGGATAGTTTTTATCCCGGTTTTTGAAACAGGGACGCGCGCGATAAAGTTTTTCTGTGACAGACAAAATTCCACGCGGGCGAAGCCGCGGGCGGAAAGCTAGTACATAATAAATCCTCATGTGAAACATTTATCTACACCCAACACTGTTGCACGTCTCGGAATTTATATAATTTGTTCAAATCGTTATTAACGGTAACACTTGTTAAATTGAAAATATAAAGTCTCAGTCCATGTGTCTCTTAACTTAATCATGTTATGATTTGAGGCGGGTATCGCGGTTTGCGTAGTGTTACAATTTCTAGTTTTTGTGCATGTATTACAACAGTTGCGTTTATTTACGAGGTGGCAAAGCCTTTGATGTTGCGTTGGCTGTCGTCCACGCACGGTGAGGGAACATCGGCATTATTCGTTATGCGACTTGATGCTAGATACTGTCTTCTAAACACCTTGCTATTGTTTTAAAATATCGCTTCAGTGGTCGCATAATATTATGACATTAACAGATTGTTATATTTAATCTAGATCATGTGAATATTTTGATTTAACACAGAACCTACTTGACGCTAATGTTTTATGAAACGTTATTTCTAACGTTATTGCTAACAATAACGAAAAAAGCCGCAATAGAATGTCCTTGTAGAGTAGCTCACATGCGAACACTTCTAATAGAATTTACATTAATTAGCCCAGAAACATGCTTTCGATTGATATTTGCGTCACTTTTTAATCGTACCCAAGTGCTTTAATTTTTTCCGTAATCGCGAACTCATGCGCGAGTGGGAATTGCGTTGGCGACGACAATAATGGCCACGGCGCCAGACTACCAGCCATTACTGATTATCGATATAATTATTTCAATACACTCGACCTGGCTTCAAGCATTAGCGCCGCATCTGTTTTAGCCAAATATAATGTAGATGTTACAACGAAGCTCTCGCGCTCCTAGGTTTGGCCAGTCGAACCTCAGGTCTTCAAAGAAGTCTCAATCAAAGTCATGAATTGAATTTTATGACAGACCAACTTGGGCTATCATACGTCGAAATTGAATATTGTATGAACTATTTTAGGTACTGAAATAAATAATTTTTCTTTCGAGTTTTCACTTCAGTTTGATAAATCATTTACATTTACACCTCAGAAAAAACACAATATCGCACCTTTAAATTTAAACCGTTACTAAACGAAATTATGGAATTTTGCAGGAGNAAGGTGCGATATGATGAAAAGAAAAGCTTCACACATAAATGAAAAACTTCAGAGAGTTTCCCGATAGATATTGGTCAAATCTAAGATTAACCAGTCATTCGTATCGACCTTCGACTATAACATAGATTCATAATAATAAAATCTATTTGGAATCAGTTACAAAGAGTTACGTCTGAGATTACAGCAAAGGCTAGCAAAAGCAATATTGATGTTACATAAGCTAATTCTTTTACGAAGTAGAGTACGTACGTACACTTACGTAATGCATAATAGTTTTTTGGCAAATCTGATTAAAATATAGACGAACTAAATTACTAAAAGTATGCAAAATATAAAATTGATAGACATGATGTAGGTACTTACCTACCAAACAAAGAATTGACATGACATGTGCCGGAAAATGGAGTCACGGCGCTACAAGGGCTTGTCCGTTCTGAAAAAATGTATCGTACGCATCCACATAAAGTTTTGACAGGATAACAACCAAAACTTACGAGTATACCCATATAAATGGTAATATTTCTGAAATACAAAGATCCTCAATTTACAATAAGGTGCCTTAAAATATGCAATGGAATGAATAAGAATATTAAGACTGCTCGTGTAGAGACAAGCTGCAACGAAATATAAATCGACAAAATAGCATTGACGAATAATTAATGATTTATAACTAAGATCTGATGATGAGATATATGAGATAAACAACCCAATGACCAAATGGAGTACCAACCTAAATGACAATCTATTATGAAGTAAATGAAGAGGAAGAATAAAAGAGACGAAATACCAAATCGATTAGGACTCGAGTCTCATTGACGACTGTTCACTTAAAAACGGAACAGTTATACTCACTTAATATTATAACAAACTAGGAACTACATAATTAAACTATTGAGTCCGGAAATATAAATAAGAAGGTAAACAAGAATTTAAAGATTGTAATATTTTACTTGTTGTAAAGCCAAGAAAGATAAAATCATATTCACAATTAAACTGGGCAGTTGATAATATGTACCTACTAAGCATAAAGTCAATAACACCACCACTGAGTTTTAAAGGAGGGATCAGCAGGATGCACAATTGCACATTGATGTATGCTTGATTTGACAGATTGCGCTGCTAAAAAAATAGGAAGGAAATCGTTATGCACCTGAAAGACCAGGGCCAAGGGTAAAAAGTTCTCCTCCTCCTATAAAGTCCCACTGGTGAAGACAAAAATGTCAAAAATCAATACCCTCTTATTAGGTAGGTTAGGGATGTTCCATACAAAAATAAAGTCCGGAATTTTATTCAATCCCGGTTACTGTTTATTTGTCATTTACCATTTCAGAAGCACGAAAAACAATAATTAAATAATTTTTAAATTGTTGTTAGGGGTCCAAAATTTCGTAATATTTCAGTTAGGTTTTCGAGGAGTTAGGTTAGGTTTTCGAGGAGTTAGGTTAGGTTTTCGAAGAGTGGTTTCCGAATTAGGTTTTCGAAGAAGAGCTAAGTTTCCGATAAAATTAAGTTTATTTTTGGGTGTATGTATTGTCTTATGTCGTTTTTTTAAACAGATGTAAATTAGCAAAATATGTGATGTCAGACTCGGGAGAGAGGAGTTTCGTAAATGTGACCAGGTGTGACAAGTGGTGTGGGAGAGGTTCAAGTAATCATGAAATTCGTGTTTACTGTTTTTAAGATTAACTATATGGTTCGGAAACGTGGCCTCTCACTATATGCCTTATACAGAAGCTCAAAATTGCACAGCGTCTATGGAAAGGGCTATGCGACATCGAATCAGGAATGATTAGTCGCTGACATAGCCCGACGGATTAGCAAGCTGAAGTGGAAATAAGCAGGGCAGTAAGATTCTGGAGTGGAGGCCGCGTACCGGAAAATGCAGCGTGGGACCGAAGACATCATAAAGGCAGCAGGAAGGCGGCTGAAATGGTGATGATGATAATGATGATTTTTTAGATGTCCCCTAAGATGAAGATGTTTAATTTGATTACAATGTTTCCAACAATAATTGCCCGAAGGGAATTCTGGAACAAATGGATACTTAATCTCTTTTTGGATTAATCAATGTATGAAATTCACCACAAATTCCAGCCATTGTTCATAGAAATCCCCTGGGCCAGAATAATGGAAAATCATTTTCAGGTCTTACAAGCTCTATTCATTTATAATATTTCTGTTGAAGTTTAAAACAACATTCTCAAAGATTTTGGAATCACCGTCATTTAAGACAATTAACGTTTTTGTTACTGAGCGTGTTTGCTGTACGATATTCAATCTTAGTTTGGTTAGTGACTTTCTTGAACGACGGTACTAGACCGTACCCATTCTTTATGTTAGAATAAAAGTTTATACTCTTATCTTGTTTTATCACTGCACTGACAGCAGGTAGGTGTACGATCGCGATAAGATAGCAAATGACGACAATGTGTTTTCAGAATGGAGAATGGTGATAACAAGGGTTCTCACCATTATTTCGGAACATTAAGCATACACAATCAATAGATTCAAGAGAAAGCAACACTAAAATCGTTTGCTTGTCTCTACTTTTAAAAGCGTTTACCTTTCTTTTAAGCATTAGTCTAACGTGCATAAAAGGTAAACGACGGCAGAAACCATATTGGTGCTGTGGTTATTAGTAATTTGCAATAGTACCTGTGCAGGTCGATAGCTAAGTACCTGCCTTAACGAGCCTACTTAGTACTTTGCCTGCGTAATAATAACATTCAACATACTGACATCAAGTCCAGCTAATCTAGATGCACAATCATAAGTATATAGTTTCTGCGAAACGTCTTTTGTAATTCCATACTAAAACTCTTGACCGAATATATGAGTTGTAAAGAAGTTCTATAAACTTTTTATCATATCCACGATACAAGAAGTTGAAAGCAACTTAGATTCCACTTACTTGCTATAACAGGTTTGGAAAAAACATAATTTCATACTGTAGGTAGTGCGATTCCAAAATCTCCAGTAGGATTACCTTCTCCCAAAAGAAGACTTGCAGCTTGTGTCTACATTGAACTAGATTCCTCAATGAAACCATATCAATGCAAACAAAGGAAGACATTCATATAAGAAACCAAATTCATAGACTTACTTGAGATAATAAATCTGACCCTCCGGAGTTCTCGCTTGCTCCCAACCAGCTGGAAGTGGGCCCAAATCGTCTTGAAGATGTGATCCGACATCATACGATCTGTGTTTCGCGTGTTGGTGATGAAGTGGCTGTGGTTGATTTTGCTGACCCGCGGCGTACGTCTGTTGCAAACTGGCCGGCGAGGAGTGCGCCCGAGAGTGCGACACCGGAGCGGCGCCAGTCGCGGACGACGATCCGAACGCCGAGTCAGCCGAGTTTTCTCGCGAGTGAGACACAGATGGCGACTTGGAACCGGTCGACGGCGGGTTAAAGAACGACTTTGGAAGCTGTCGCATACGAAGAGGCACCTGTAGCGGCCGTTTCGAGTCCGGCTTGAGCACAGTGTCGAACAACGACTGCAGAACCGAGTCCGAATCCTGGTCCACCCGGAGGACCAGGTTCGATTTCTGTTCACCGTCCGAGTTGAGAGCCATGGTTGCGTCGGAACGAAGAAATCTCGAAACCGACCTGGCCCACCGCAGTGACACAACACTAGCACGCGACGGGCGGGCGCGTCGCCACCCGACGTTCTCGCAGTATGGCGCTCGGTGCGCGACTGCCGACTGACGCACGCCCCGCGCCGCTGCCCACGCGCACTCCGCGACCGGTCGCCCCCCGCGCCCCCGCCCCCCCCCCCCGAGCTTACCTATCTCCTTAGCTCGCCTCGCCTTGTAGGTAGCCCGNCCACCGTGCGCCGGCCGCCAGCCGCGACCGCGCAACACACCTTTTTATTTATTTATTTATGTGTGCCGAGACACAAAGACCACCACCTTCGTTGAACTTGCGAGGCCCTACAGATCTGTACAAAGAAACACGAATAAGTTTATACACCTGTAGATACTTACCTACCAAGAACGTTAAGAACGACGATTAAGATATTATATCCGGGAACTTCCCGGGATGCGGGATTTTTAGTGATGTACCTACATCAACATAAATATGTCGTGAAATACATAATTCAATCACCTGTTTAAGTTATTTTTATTATACTCTTCTGTAGTAGGTATATGTACAATTATTTTTTATAAAACACAGTTATTACAACAATAATAAATAAATAAAGAATAATATGTTTAGCTGCAAAGTTAGACGTATATTTTCTACGTTAATCATTTTGAATTATTAAAAAAAATAACGCGAAATAACACAATTTCCAAACTAATGTTTTCTGTATTTTTTCGAGATTATTTTCTGCAATTTTATGTGGATTTTTACAGTGATGTTTATTGTTCAAATAAAATAATGATATGATTTTAAATTAAGTCAGCTACACTTATAATAAATATTATCTAAGTTATAAAAGAAAAAAACACTTAAAGCGAGAAATATTTGTATTTCTTCAAAATTACCATAATTTTAAGCATAAAATGTTACTATGTACTAACCATTAAATTCACATCAATGTTCTTAAAATTATCTTTTTTGTCACTGCATTTACTGCGCTTAATTAATTTTTAGACTTGCGACACTTGATATGAAAGTATCATATGAAATTAAAACATAAGACTTTATACTGTCAATACTGCACATTAAATAAAAGTATACATTCCACACCTACTTGTAACAAAAGTTCACTGAATGCATTTAGTGTTTATGTAATTTGTAGTCTTTAACAAGAATCCTAGAATAATCAATAAACTCAACCTAAGTTTTAACAATTCTAGTACTTTAATGCAAGCTATCCTGTTCAAAATATTGAGGCAATGAAAGTAGGTACTTGAAAATGTTTTAAAGTTATAGATTCGGAAGAAGTAATAATACTTTTATCAATTTACAGTCGACAGCACATCATACATTTTTGTTGGAAATTAGCACCTATTTATTAACACATAAGATGCCAGTATTTACCTTGATGTGCCGTCGTCGGTACACTGAAACAGTCTACTTGAGTAATATGTTCTTGGACAACAGAGCGAGCGGCCGGTCCTTCGCCGCGTGTTCCTTGTCGTGGTGTATCAGCAAACCTCTTCGAGTGACGAACTTTTCCGAGCAAAACGAACAGTGGAACGGCTTTTCTCCCGTGTGTTGAAACATATGATACTGAAAACAAAATCAAATATTACCTATAACATTTTCGCAAGGCAGCTCTGTTAAAAAGGGGGCAAAACTGTAAGGCTGGGTTGCACCATCTTAGTGGCAATAGGCAGGGCACATAGTACGCAGAACTGACGGCCAATAGGGCAGCAAGGTTCTAGAGTGGAGGCCGCGTACCGGAAAACGCAGCGTGAGACGTCCACCCGAAGAAGGTGGACCGACGACATCATAAAGGTAGCAGGAAGGCGCTGGACGCAGGCCGCTACCAAGCGGGCAACATGGAAAGCATTGGGAGAGGGCTATGTTCAGCAGTGGACGTCCTATGGCTGAGATGATGATGATGGTGCAACTCAGCCATAGAGAACTACAGACTGAAGAGAACTTCACTAGTCCTACTATGCTCGTTTATAAGCTGTTTTGAGGGTCACGTCAAATCAACTTGCTATAATATTCACAACAGAACTGGGCTTCGTTTAGATTTATATTTACCATAGACCACAGCCACGTACGTAGTAGGGTAGGTACTCGTACTTTACAGCGATGACCTTAAAAGCCGAAACGTGGAATATGACAGGAAAACTGGTTCACCACCGACTACGTCACTCTGCGAATGTGTGGAAAGGCCGCAGGACTATCTGTCGCAGAAACTATGAATGGTGGATTTTTGGTTCCACCTACCTGCTCAAAAGGGATACCTGGTAGTGGCAGAAGCTTGTGTTTTTGGCGGGATTTTTCGCGAACAATAGCCCAATGATATCAATGTATTAAATTGTTTAAATTGTTTAAATTGTTAAAAATTGTTTATTGATATCGGTGTCGGACTGGTCGACACATCGTACACTTGTACTTTACGACGCCCTTTACTCTACTATTTGCGGCTGCAGCGGCGAAGAACTTGGCGCGAGTTGCTATGCTACGTCTCCCTGGCCAGGGAGATAAAATAGGGACGTATCTTGCCGTCGACGCACCGCCCGGATTGGACTTTTCCGTGACATGAAGTTAATTTAACATTGTGTACTTACTGTAAAATTGTCTAACATTGCGTACTTACTGTAAAATTGTCTCGCTTCACGAAGCTGTGTTCGCATATCGTGCACTTGTACTTGATGACGCCCTTCACGGCTACTATTTGAGGCTGCAGCGGCGTCTTAGGTGCGAATTGTTGAGTGGTCCTTGCCATCATGCGGCGTATCTTGCCGTCGACCCGACGCCCGGGGTGCATCCGACTCCGGTGGGAGTAGCAGTTGCCGGAACTCGCGAAACTCTTGTCGCAGAACGGACACTTGTATGGTTTCGCTCCAGTGTGCTGGTTTATGTGAAACTGGAAAAAAATTGTAATTAATCAGTCAACAGCATTGATTTATAAAAAACGGTATTTGCTTCTAAACAGGGTTTGAAATTTTTACGGTTTTTTGGTCTCATTAACTATTAAATATCCAGTACTGTTTTTATGCAATGAAACTGGAAACCTATCTTTCATTACACTCATCATTGATTTTTTATTGTATTTTCCTAATATTATCCACCCAACCCAAGTATCCACATTAGTTACCTATCTCTTTGAACTCATCTTAACTGACCTTTAAATCTTGATTCCTTTTGAAGCTCTTCTTACAAAGATGGCAGTGGTACGGTCTCTCATTACTATGGGTGATGCTGTGAGTCTTCAAGTTACTGAGTGTGTTGTACGACCGGCCACACACCTTACAAGTATGGGATTTAGTCGCCGACAGGTGAACAGCTATGTGTGCAGCCAAATTTCTTTCTGTTCTAAAGCTGGAGGAAAAGAATAGAACATTTAAAAGAGAATACATAACAATGCAAGCAAAATATAATTCTTACATATTATGCTAAGAACTAACCTTCTTCCACAAAATTGACAAATTCCATTAACTCTATGAATCTTCAAATGTGTTATCAAATCACTCTTGTAATCAAAGCCTTCATCACACGTACTACACCTGAACTGAGTGTGGCACTTTTCTTCATTTATGTGAATCCAGGAATGATTTTTCAGTGCAAATTCAGAGTGAAAACTACGCTTACAAGTAACACATGGGAATGGTTTTGGCTTAGGTTCCTTTTTTGGCGGACAATAGCCATTATCATCATCATAAATTTGAGGTAGGTTTTTGTCACCTTTTTTTATTAGTTTTATTGTCACATTTTCGCTGTCTACGTCGTGCAGATGCGTAACATCTTCAAATGTGGTGCTGCTCTCATCAGCACTCGGGCAAGGTGACAATGGTTCTTCAGAATTTTGAAGTACCATGTTTGGATCGACACTTATCTCCATTTCAGTGAACTTGCTTTCATCATCAGAGCCATCATATTCCAATTTAATTCCGTTATTGATGATCCTAAAACTTTTTTCATCATTTTGGAGACTACTCACATACTGTTCTATCATTATGCTCTTTTTAAGCAATAGCACTTGGGAATTTCTGGCAGTATCAATAAAATCACACACAGTTTGTAGCTTCGTGCAACACTTAATGCAAATATTTTTTGGTAGTTTATCATCCTCATCAACCTGAAAATTATATAACTAATGTTTATATCTAAATAATATAACTTGAAGGTGACTGACTGACATAGTGATATATCAACGCACAGCCGAAATCACTGGATGGATCGGACTGAAATTTGGCATGCAGGTAGATGTTATGATGTAGGTATCCACTAAGAAAGGATTTTAAGAAACTCCACCCCTATGGGGGTAAAACGGGTTTGTCAGTAATTTAATGAAAAATGGGTCACATTTTTCTATAGATAAAGTTTGAGGAGTTGAATCCACCTTGCCAAATTTTGAAAAATAAAAAAGAGGCTGACCACAGCTGAGTTTCTTACACTTTATCTTGATTTCACTGGCTACAAATGCATTGTGTGATCATTTTATGTCTAACAAGAATTTGAAAGAGGTATTAAACAGTAAAGAAACATAATAGTCAATAATCATTTTCAAATTTTGGCACACCAAAACTTGATCAGAAGAGAGTGAAGTTAGCTAAGTATGTCTATGTAAGCCTACTTAGATCAGCATGTTAACATAGTTACATTACATACCTCAATCAAAAGATATTGGTTGAGCTTGTTTCTAAAAAGCATAGCCTCAGCTTCCTCACTAAATATCATGATTGTTGTCTCCTGCTCCTCGGCACATAGGCGGCAGGACCTCTCGAAACTTTCCTGCAGTGATGGATCCATGACTAAATTTATTATGGCATAGTTCAACCCACTGCTACAGCTACACTCTTATAAAGTATAATGTAACGATTTTTCCACTCTAATTTCCAGCTGAGTAAGACGCATGCGCGTTGTGAAATAGCGATGTCGATGAGCTTTGTATACTTCATCGCTAAGTATTGATATTTTTCCAAAAGGTATACTTGCTGGCTCCCTTTGCAGTAGGTTCGTTTTTCTGCGCGCGCAGTTTTGTTTGAACAGTGAACACACCACAGACACATTGCTCTGAATTTATTACTTGTCTATTTTATTTGACCTAACTTTAGAATGCCATTTAAAATTTAGTTCTTCATCATCTTTTGTTTTGTTTACAATAATTACAATGTTAACAACAACCGGCAGAACAACAAATGTCTCTCTCTCCTTCTCTTTCTCTCTCATTGTTTGTTGAATCGGTTTGCTCCGCTCACTCTACTGCTGAATGACCTTTTGACAGATCTGTCTGTCATCTGTTTTTTTTATTGAATCAACAAAGTGACGTTCTGTGCCCCGATTGTGCTAAATATTTTCAATTACAACGCGACTAGACGACGAACGAAAATCACAAAATCGTATCGCGGTTCGCATCTAGTTCAAACGAAATCAAAACGCAACTGCTTCTTTGTGTATAAGCTGATATAAAGCTACTTTTTCTCAAACTCGAGTCAAACGCCTTCACGAACATTTGCTGTATTTTAGTGAAAAATAAGGTTTTTGGACTTTTAACGGAAAGTGATTAAATCCGTTGTTTTGTCTTCGTTTGCGCGTGACCTTTACCGCGATTCCGAATTTGCACCTTAGCTGGAATGAAAAACGGAGCGCAACTGGAGATGAAGTGCCAATGAATTGGAGACGTTAAAAAGTAGCGTAATCGGAGCACTGAATTACGACGAGCCCTGCAGCAGACGAACTATTTTGCATCGGGGCTCGTATAAATTATTTCCCCGTGTTCCCTTAGGTTTCCATATTAACTATCCTCACGCGAACTTCTTGAGAGAATTTAACTTTTCTAACGTGTTCGCATTATTCGAGTAATTTAGTAGAGTAAGTAAACTAGTCTTTAGTAACAAAACTAATCGCTACTTACTATTAAACTGTTCGCACTGGTTGAGTACAGTTTGCAAGTAAATTAATTTAGTTATCAAAACAAAATAGAACAAAATTGACTAAACTATTCAGTAACTTAGGCTGAGTTGCACCGCCTAACTTTAACAGTCACTATAACGATAACCGGTGTATATTTTGTATGGAGTTTGACAGATTTTTGACGTTTGTTAACGTCAAAGTAAGATGGTGCCCCAGCCCCAGCCTTAGTTGACCAAATTTTTAGTGTTGTTGTTCACAGACATTACTTCTAAATTACTCGCCATTCGACTAATTCACTCGGCTAGTACGAACAAGGCTTTAATAACACAAATGTTAATGTAGTAATAACACATTAAACGTTACTAAAACATAATAAGAAAAAAAAATTTTAAACAATCTAATAAGTAAATAAGTTTGTTTTAGTTCAAGGTCGTTATACCTGTCGTCGGGCTTGGTCGGATAACCAAATGCCCAACAAGAACAACCCTATGAAACACGGAAATTTGACACTAGTGACATCTGAGTTTGACATTTGATTTGTCACTGTCATTTTCAAGAATCCCGTGCACTCTATAATCCATATCTGTGCGTGCACTAGTCGTTCGCCCATCTCTTTCTAATCTGCTCTTTTATTAAAAAGCAAGGACGAGATAGTTGCGTTAAATCAAGTTGAATTAAAATTAAAAGTATAAATAAAATATGAATAATATAAATTAACATCTTCACCGTGACGTCCGTACTGAACCGCTCATTTTAGTTTTAACGCCAGTTAGTACATACCTATAAACTTTATTTAGCAAGTTAGCTACTTTTATCACACAGTTATTGCATTTTTGATCAATGTGATGTAATATTGTGTAGTGTAAAACTTTCAGTTTGATGGGGACGCAAGAGTTTTAAAACTTTTATACACACGACCTTCAAAAGTGACCTTAAAACTTGTATAGTCAATAGAATTAAAGTGCGCATGTGTAATATTCTGTCAAATCGTGTTTGGCGCGCTGATAAGCTCAAACATACAAGCTGTTGATCGCAATGAGTTTGTTTTTTTAGTCGTTCAACAGATACCGTGCATAGTTGACGTACGTAACATAAAATAACGCGAGTTGGTCATTAACTAAAATGTCTAACCACGATTTAACCTGCAAAGTGAGAACGGCGAGACAGAATGGCATTGTGCAACCCCTACTCACTGGTATGTCTAGCAATATTTTATTTTGGAGCGAATTTTGAAATTTGTTTTTCTGATGCACTTTGAAACATCTTAACATTTGGAGCAATTCAAACTTTAACAACCTACACTAATATTTTCTTGAAAAATAAACAATTTTCAAGTGAAATTTTTTCACTATCTTTAAAAAATTGATTATTACACATCTTTAAATGCTGGGTGGATAATATTGTGCTTTGACCTTAATTACATCTTTTTTTATTTTTTGTCTGCAGACCTTTACCAAATCACTATGGCTTACGCTTATTGGAAATCTGGTAAAGTGAATGATGTTGCTGTATTTGATTTGTTTTTCCGTACCAACCCATTCCATGGAGAATTTACAATATTTGCGGGACTTGAAGAATGTTTGAAATTTCTGCATAATTTTCATTATTCAGACAGTGGTAAGATTTTAATTATATTGTTGCATTAAATCTAAAATTAATAAAAAATAAAAAAGGTTATAAGATATGTAGGTATGAAATAAAATGATATTGGTTTAATACCTATAAAATGACACTAAAAATATAATGTATCATTAATTTTTTTTAGATATAGAATATTTAATGCAAACACTGCCAGATAATATTGAGGCAGAATTCTTTGCATACTTAAAAGATTTAACATGCAAAGATGTTAAATTGAGCGCCATTGAAGAAGGTTCAGTTGTTTTTCCAAGGTAATTATTTTTTTATTTAATAAATTCTCCTATCTTGATGATTGGACTAATGGGTGTTTTAATATTTCAGAGTACCACTGTTGAGAGTAGAAGGACCGTTAATTATTACTCAATTACTGGAGACAACCCTATTGACCCTGGTTAACTTTGCTAGGTAAGTCAGGCTAGGTGACACAATAATATTCAAGGCAAAAAGTAATTGTCTGTGTAAATTAGTGATTCACAATCTTTAGTCTTTATACTGAATTTTGTAATTTTTATGGTAATAATGGTTTGGGGATAATGTGTGGAAATTGATCTAAGAGTTCTAAAGTTGATCTAATATTTTATGTATAGGTCATCTAGACTTAACTTAATAATTTATTTATATGATAAATTATATTATTTCAAATATATTTTTCGTAAATCATTAAATATTTTTTTAATAAAGGCCAGTCCAGTTTATAATAAAATTATCCAGGATTTATTAGTAATGCTTCCCTAGCAAATTATATGTATTCAGAACAAATAAAAAATATCAAGAAATTGAAATTTTATTAATTTTCATAGGGGTAAACCTTATCTTCTATAAAGTTCTTTGCTTCATCATAATTATGTCCTTAATTTAGTGATTGTCAACATCTTTATTCAATAAATTTTATCATCTTCAAAGCAGCCCTAACCCTGTTCAAATAAGAAAAAATTAAATAAATATGTAGGTACTTTCAGTAACCAGCAAAACTGTTTAACTAACTACATAATTTAAGATACATACCTACTGTGCATTTTAAATTTATCTACTTCTAAAGTTAGTTGGTAGTTACGTAGTTATGAGTACACCCTATTTAAAATTAAAACAATAAAAATTCGCTTCGTAATTTTTAAAAATCGAAATAAGAATAATTTTAAAATAAATTAAGGTCGCGGTAATTTTACGTCGTGATTTGAATGTCAACAAAATAAAATTCCACCAGAAGAATTTTACATTAATCTTTCTGAAAACGGTTACATGTCACGATTTTTAGGGTTCAGTATTTAAGGAACCATTTTTACGCTTTAAGTTCTCATGTATCACATCACCTCGTCTAATCATTCAATCAATACCTACCTACGATAGGGTGTTTAATATTACAAGCTCATAGGTACTTGTACTTCTCAGGCATAAGATATCCGCATGCCGCATGTGTATTGTTTTGTTACCATAAATAATACACTGTTTCTCACCTATGAAACGAACAAAATTACCTACGTAGTATCAGTAACCTTTTTCAAATGCATTATACAGATTTATATTATGTACTTAGTACACTAGGTGTGCCCGCGACTTCGTACGCGTGAAAATAGTTTGAATAATATTTTTGCAACATTTTTCTTTACTGCTCCACCCCTATTGGCTGTAGGGTGAAGTTATGTAAATAAAGCCTGCCTCGATAAATGGGATTTTTTAATCGGACCAGTAGTTCTTGAGATTGGCGCGTTCAAGTAAACAAACGAACTCTTCAGCTTTATAATATTAGTATAGATAGCTATATTACCCACATACTGTTATCAGTCAGGCTCCACTAGTTCAATTAATTGCTGTAGTCACCATTATCTATATTGGAATAACTTTGTATGAGATAGGATATATCTAGAAGAGCTACATTGCAATTTGCATCCGACTAAGCGTTGTTATCACTAAAAGTACTGTTTCGTTTTAATTTGAGTTGATCCAACCAACACATTGAAGAATACTACTTAAGTAATTAGACCTTGAAATTCATGATTTAAGGTCTTAATTAGTTTTCTAGATGTTATATATCTAAAGCATATCCACTGTCAATTTACGCAAAGCTCGACTTGATTAATGGTTTTACTGATAGAGAATGCCTATTGTCATGAAGTCCGCCATTTGTACATCTTCACGTGTATCATAAATGAAAATTGATTACAAAATATGGTACTTACACTATAATATTGAGGAACTTTCACAGCTTAAAACAGTGGCTCCAAAGATAAATCACCTACGTCATATTCGCATGTCTTGTACCTCCTGTTCCCTTAATAACTACACAGGGTGTCCCGTAACGAGCGTGCCAAAAATAATGCTTTAAAAAGTATCACCATTTCAGAGATATTATGATTTTTTTCATTTTTTTAATCCCTATTTTTGTGCCATCTCTTGTTGCTCTGGGTATAATTGGGCAAATCATTTTCAAGATGAATGAAAAGAAGAATAAGAGAAATATCTGCTCATTTGTACACAAGAGCAAGGCTCAAAATTGAGGATTAAGAAAAACATGAAAAAAAAATCGTATTGAAAATGGTGACACTTTAAAAAAAACATAGATGACCATCCATTAGTCTATTATCTCTTTAAGTTTGGCACGCTCTTTATGGGACAGCCTGTATACAAACCAAAATAATACTAATATTAAATTTATGTATAGCCTGACCAGGAACATAAAAACCCTGGCATAGAGGCGCGTCAATTGCATTTGATAGTGCAACACTGAGTACAGTCGTACCTGTGTTAAATTAATAGACTAACTTTATGCATCAGGATTCAGGATTACAGGCTAATTTGATATTTTCATAAATTAACGAAAATATATTATTATAAGTAACCTGGTTTAAATAAATTAAATGAAACCATCAATCGAGCTAGTTGGATTTATTTTATTATTCATCAATAATCAAATTCAGAACTTGCATATTCAACTGCAATGTCTGCTCATGAACGCTTCAAACTCGGTACTTCTTTCCCAATTCCATAAAATTCAACACTTAGAAAGTGACAAAAACTTTAAAATAGGTAGTTGAAACAAACTGCAGCTAATTTTTATAGTGGACTGTACTATACGATAAACATGTCAGTCAATTTGACAACCTTTGTCGGAAACATTATTCAATGAAAATATTGTCCGAACCCTTAGTATTTCTCTTCGACAAATACTTTAACACATTGTGAACCACTTTTCTTTCACGACTATAAAAAGATTTTAGCAATTTAATTCACAAAATCAATTGCGCACATTTAAAATAAAGTTTGTTTACACTTTGACAGCAATAGACTGACATGCAAGGTGACATGTCAATGAAGTTTTCAGTTACTGTTGCCATTAAAAGAAATTAGTACCATTAGTTTTCCGCAACATGGCGAGGGTTTTTATGTTCCTGGTCAGGCTGTATTATTAAATTTCTGAATCGATTGTATGAATTTCATACTACCTTCATCTTTTGTTGTAGCTTGATGGCGACGAATGCTGCCAGGTACAGAATGGTAGCCGGTAAGAGCGTGTCGCTGCTGGAATTTGGTTTGCGCAGGGCACAAGGTCCAGACGGCGGTCTTTCTGCTTCGAAATACGCTTATATTGGTAATTATTAGTTATACCTATCTTTTTAAAGTATTTTGGAGTTTTTAATACTTAAAGTATTTAGCCATTGTAATTTATTTACAACAAATGTTGCAAATTATGTATGTAATGTACAAGTGAGGGGTACTACTACAGAAACATATCCACAATGCTTGTTTTGTTGTAGCATTCAGTCATGCTATTAAATTAGAAAAGATCGTCTGTAAATAACAAAGGAAATATGTAACAAACAAAACATATGTTTCTTGATCTTTTAAATAATAATAAAAATAAAACTTTACTGTACACCATACACAAAACAAGAACAAAAAAGAAATACACACACACAGTATAATTTAGGTGGTCTTATCGCTATGAAGCCTTAAACCTTAAAGTAAAACATTTGAGTGTGAGAGTCTTATTTGCATAGTGACGAGCTTTTTTCTCCCCAATTGCGAATATTTGTAGTGGAACAGCGTAAATTAACTTGTTCTCGTGTTATTGATTGTATTAGCGTGTATCCGCCCCGGGGCAGGTGAAACCGATCTCTTAGTGCCTGGCACGGGCCGCCCGCCCTGTTCAAACTGCAATATAACACACCGCCGCGCCACTGACTCATAAGAAGCTCCAATAGCGAATATACTTTTATTTAATAGCTTTAATCAGGCAAGTTTTCGCGAACCTCGCCCTTGAACGCCATACCGTTAGTCATGCCTACCAAAGTTTCCAGCTCCCATCCATGCTATCAAAATTCCACGATCTACTTCAATAGCTTCACGTATCTATTGTCTACGACCTTCTTCACCGTTATATAACTTACATATTGTACGAGCGGTTCGCATGATACCGATACGTAGCTGCGACTACGGCGGACTTAGTAAAAAAGTCGTTGGCTTCTAATAAGCATTGTTGATATCATTGAACGTAATTGCTGAGCTACGTCAGCGCTCCTTATAGACGGACGGATGAATTAACATGAAGTTGTACTTGTAAATGTGACGGTATTATCACATATTATTTATCGGCCATCGAGTGATTAATATCCTATTATTCAAATTAGTACTACCTTGTTCCTTGATGGCCACATTAATTTAGTTATTGAGTCATTATTATTGTGATTTACATCGTAATGTTTATTTTCAGGTGGTTTTGACGGAACGAGTAACGTTTTAGCCGGGAAAATGTTCAATATACCCGTGAAGGGGACGCACGCCCACTCGTTCGTGACGTCATTCAGCACGCTGGACGACATACATTCCGTGCTTCTGAGACACGCCGACACACAAGAGCCTTGCAACTTGCTAGAGCTGGCCTCAGAGTGGCGCAACCGCGTGTCAGCCGTCATTGACATCTCCCCCGAGGAAGCCAGTGACGGCGAACTGGCTGCACTGATCTCGTATGCCATAGCCTTCCCAACAGGTTTCCTGGCTCTAGTGGATACGTACGATGTCAAGAGGTATAATTTTCAAGGCTTACCGTCACGGCACAGGCAGCATATGAATGGGCATTCTGGCTACAATAGCAACTGTGGATCCAATGATACTAGACTACTAAAATCACCGATACATAGTACATATGGATATAGCACGGTCGAACGCACACTGAGGTAAAGATGCAAATAGAAAACACATTGACATATTTTGGTGTCTGATAAACTTGTATTATTGTTTTGCATTGTTCATTTATATCTAAGTTATGTGGAGTTTCGATTATTAGATTGTTTTCAAAGCTGGCATGCGTCCGGTTCATACATGATACATACTCCTCATCGGGACGGGCATGAATAACTCGCATCTGGTGGGAGACATCACGATGGCACGTATCACGCTGGACTCCCGGCCGCCTAACATACTCATGGCCGTAGTACGATACAAACATTTTCTTTGGCTTTTTCAGTGAAGCGCAAACGGACAGCGCTTCATTTCCAACCGAATGTAAATAAACGAAAACACTATCGAGGAGACTTACATTTGCTTCAGTGTGACGTATTGTCCTGGACTTACGAGCAAGATTAGGGACAATCCTAGTCATTGGGCACAGTTGCATTGTATAGGGATATGCACACGTTCACAGTAAATATGTATGCATGCACATCATAAACGATCATCCACGTATTAATGGTACAGTTGTAAGATATCTTTATATGCTAGATGTAGGGTATATCTTTATAGGTATTTGTAAGTAGTTGTTTCAAATGTAGAGATTACTTCGAACGTGACATACAGGGTGTTAGGTAAATGGGTATATGAGCCGACACTAGCCCATGTTAACATGGTCATATAAATGGTATGGTGAAGTCAGAAATTTGATATCATAATTTTATTTTTTTTTAATTTTTATACAAAATAAATTGTATAAAATCCGATTTGTATGAAAATTAAAATAATTAAAATGAAGATATCAATTTTCTGACGTCACCATACCATTTATATGACCATGTTAACATGGGCTAGTGTCGGCTCATATACCCATTTACCTAACACCCTGTATACCGCGCAGATATTAGTGACATAATGCTGCATAATTGCGTTCCCATCGAGCACAGCCCGCAACAAGTAATTCGCGTAAAGCATTAAGCACGTTGCCTCTGGGACAGTTATAACTAATTACTTTGAGTAGCAATATGCCCTAACCAATTTTATTTACTTACGTTATTTGATTAAAAACTCGTAAACCGCAGTAGGTACCTATTATAATCTTACCTACCTACTTTAAACTCGTAACTTGTAATCGCAAACCGACCCGCGACGTAGTATTTCCTTTGTTTAAAAATATTTTTTAAGAACGATTCGTATGGAAAAATTAGAAAAGATTACTGTTTGAGAAAACATAGTTTTTGTAGTACTTGAATTACCTTGAAAATCCAAGTTTATACGAAAGAAAGAATACCTTAAATACATGAGACCTTTACAAACCTCTGTTTTACACACTAGCAATTGAAACTGTGGACGTCAATAAATAACTTACTTACTAGGACAACCATTAAAATATGTAGTTCAATTTTCATTACCTTCAGAGTTGACCCCAAATATTTATATTATAAAGGCTTAAATATGGTTAGTAAGGAATGTGTAGTTAGCAATTGTAATTAGAAGGATGAGTCACAAGTGCCTGATTTTAATCTGCTTAACTTGGGATCCAGTTCTCACCCACAAATGCTAGCCAGATGTCACAATTTTCGCCCTTTCATTCATAACATTATGTAGGACTCACTGCTCATCACGATTTTTATTATTTTTGCTTATATATTATTATTATATTGATGGTTAGTGCTTCTTCGATTTTATTTTTATTTAGTTGCATTTGTTTTCAACAGGAGTGGATTGCTGAACTTCTGCGCTGTGGCTTTGGCTCTAAACGACTGTGGGTATCGAGCAGTGGGCATCCGTATTGACAGCGGAGACTTGGCTTACTTGTCAGTACTGGCCCGGGAGACCTTCGAACAAATCGCTGAAGCCTTCAAACTGCCATGGTTCTCCAAACTGACCATAGTCGCGTCTAATGACATCAACGAAGAAACCATACTGAGCTTGAACGAGCAAGGCCACAAAATCGATTGTTTTGGCATTGGGACGCATTTAGGTAATGTTCTTTTTTGATAACAGCTTAATGAAACGATTGTGCACAATTCAACAACTCTATGTTTATACTGATAGTTACATTGTTGCCATATTGTTTTGATATGTTTAACTTTAGGAAAGTGTATGTCAATGAGAGTATTAACTCCGTGATTAAGACAGGGAATGACGTCAAGGCGTAAACATTAGAATAAATTTACAAAACTTTATTTTCATAAATTCAGCTAGCAACCGCTACAGTTGTAACACTAGCGTGGTATTGGTGTCTCTGACAATTTTATTCGACTTCTATTGGCACGCTAAAGAAAACTTTGCATTAGTTGGATTCTACTTTTGATAAATGCAATGCAGCATTAGATATTGTCAAAAGTTATTGTCGCATGGTGGTTTACATTCGAATTAAAATATTAGCACGATATTTGGAGTCAACATTTTAGACGGCACCTAGTTGGGAAACGAAACCGAATGCCGGTACCTATTTTGTTCGCATTAACTTCGAATTAAAATTATTAGATGCTTCTGTACTTTTTGTATGATGATTTTAACTTTTTGCAACGCTCAAGATTACAATAACTATTTTCAGTTACTTGCCAACGTCAGCCAGCATTAGGATGTGTTTACAAGCTAGTGGAAATAAATGGGCAACCACGAATCAAGCTAAGCCAAGATGTTGGAAAGGTCACAATACCAGGACACAAAGAGGTAATAACAGCTCTATTTATCTATGGAATACCTACCATCATGTAGATAACTATGCCTAATTGATTTTTTATCTTTCCCATCATTTATAAGATATTATCCATATCTATGAAATAATGCAGTATCACGAATATTCATTATGATTCATGAATATTCTGTATTAGGTACACGAGTATTCACAAATCATGACAAACACAATGTGGTTTGTTGTTCATTCTTAAATTATTGTAAAAAAAGCATTTACTCAATATTTTGATATTAAGTACGAGTCACCTGTCTGCAATTAATCATCACTACAATGACAAGAAAATAAAACATCATCCTATTATTCAATACACAGGGTCGGATTTGGAGGTCGAGGGTGATGGAATTGAATGAAGGTCACTTACTTTAACTGTGTATCAAATCATATTTAAATTACATTATTTGAATGTTTTAGATTATATTTACACTTTCATAATCTCTTTTGGTGTGTTCTAGATCTAGACCCTATGTGGTATACGCCCATTGTTACCCGACTGCGCAAGAAGGGGGGTATTTAATGTCCTGCTTGGGACTTTACACGTTCGACTTCGAATGTGTTAAACTAAATTAAATTACAATTTGCAAGTACATATTTCGATATAATGTGGCTCTCAAAGTGAAAGGCAATGTTTTGTTATACATTCATTTGCTGCGAAAAAATTCCTTAAACGTTTAATTGTGGTGCGCTTTCTTGTAGAAGTGACTGACAATAGCACATTATGTTACACCCTCCCCTAAATCCGGCCTTTTTCATTCCGTTCTTTAGAATTTTCGAAGACCAATGTAAGTTCTTGGTAGGTAGGTCTACTTGATTTATTGTAAGTACATAAAAGTTTGACGACATGTAAGTTATTTAACGATATTAGTTATTATAATAATAATACAAGATGTGACATTGAAACGAAGTTACCAAGATCTAATTAATCTCCACTTCCATAAATTAGCTTTCCGCTTTAAAAGGTTTAGTTCTAGGCCAGTGGAAGTTCAAGATGCCAAAATTAAATTTAGGCTCATATTTTAGAGCTTGTAGTAACCGTTGGCGTATTTAGGAATATTTTTTAGGTGGGGTATGACTCCTAACCACACCATGTCCAATGGATACTGAGGGATTAGTATAGTATAGATAGTTTCATCCACGAAGACGAGGGGGGGTTTGAATCAAGCAATCCGAGCGTCATTATTGTAGTGTGCGTGCGCACTCATGGATGATTTAGCGTGTACCGATAACACTCAAACATTAGCGGAAGCATGGTGGCGCGCGTCTTCGTGGATGAAACGATCTATACTATAGTATGCTCATAAGTGAGTACCTACTATCTTCGAATCGAATAGGTAGCGCAACTTGTGCAGCTTTACAATACAGACTATTACCTACTGTTCCGGCTTCAAAATAAATAAGTTAGTTATTTTTTTTATAGTCTAGACTATTTATTATGAAGATAAGCAGGTTTTAAAACACTGCATTAATAACTTACATAAATGATAACTTGTTAGATACGTAATACGTGATCTTGAACCTAATGATAAGAATGAAAACGTATCATATACTGTATAGTACAGTAGGTGGCACGTCAAGCTAAACACTGAGTTCTTATGCAGTTGAAATAGGAGCGAGTTTGCAACAAATATGGGTAGTCTGTTGTGATGTCTGTACAAGTTTTGGTGCCAAGGCTGCATACTAAAGGTAACGCCTAACACCAAATTGAAATTATGAATTCCAAAATTATTTTCGACATAATATCCAATATGATATTTAACTGGCTTGTTACGTACTTAAAGCCCATCAATGCTATCCAAATAAATATTATAGACATTTTATATATTTTCTACATTTCTTTCTCTGAGGATGCTCTTCTTGCATTCGTTTTCATAAGCTTTTGTTACTTTTTGTGATACTAAAAGTAATATTTAGTACTTATTACTTATGACGTATTTAAAACCATTTATGGTTAATGATACTAGTCTACATGTGTTTTTGTTAACTTCGCAATTATTGTTTTAGTTAAAGTACGTACCTAAAGTTTGTTTACCTTTGGTAATACAATGCAATAGATTCGAAAGTCAATGACTGTTATTGTAAGTGATTAAACTAAGACCGATTGCCAAGTCAAATTAGGTAAAAGAAGTAATGAGAGCACATCATACTTTACAGTGGTATTGAATAATCGTCCTTGTTACAACCGCTTAAGGGGCTAGTAATTAACTTGATGTGACGTTGAAATGTTTCGCGTCTGTAAGTTTTCCGCTGACTATAGGTAGGTTTTTCTTTGGATACAAAGTAATGCTATCTCACTTATCATAACTCTCATGATGATAACACAACTTTATCTGTTTAAGATGATGATAAATTACGAGTAGGTATAATTTAAAGTTACACAGCATAAATTATCCAAATTGTTGACTCTGTAATGGTACAATTATACAGCACTTATAGATATTTCAGTATAATGTGTTTAGCTCACTTTAGCTGTGTAGAGCCAAATATGGATAAACTACCTACTAGACTCTTATTCGTAAAAACTCAATCAGTTTTATCTGTTTTCATCCTAGTAAATAGACGTTATAACGGTTATCTTAGCCAGTGTTATAGCACCACAGTATAAATCTGTATGTTTTTTCGCAATTTAAGATTCATAACTAAGCTGGAGCCTGTACTTATTCATAAGAGTTAGTAGTTTTTTTTATATTAGTGCTACAGAAATGCACTTGCAATTGGAGCTAGTGGGTTACTCCAAAAGGTACCTACTGGCTAGGGAAACAGGCATTTTCCATGTTTATAGCAAGAAGTGAAGGGAAACGCAGCGAGGGACGTCCACCTACAAGGTGGACCGACGACCTGATAAAGGTAGCAGGAAGGCGCTGGATGCATGCCGCTACCAACCGTGCGATAATTATGGAAGTCATTGGGGGAGGCCTATGTTCAGCAGTGGACGTCATGTGGCTGAAATGATAATGATGATGATGATAGCAAGAAATGTACATTATAAAATATTTTTGCAGGCCTATAGATTGTTCGGCGCAGACGGTCACGCGCTCATCGATTTGCTTCAAAGGTCTTCAGAGCCGGCGCCAGGAGTTGGCCAGAAGGTGCTCTGCCGGCATCCCTTCCAGGAGTCCAAGAGGGCATACGTCATCCCCAGCAAAGTTGAACATCTGTACAAGGTGAGTGTCTGCGCATCTTTCTCAACTCGCCCTCCTGCTGCCCACATCACTACGCTCGCCGGAAGCCAGACACAACACTACAGCGGTCTGCGCGGGCAGCGGGAGGGACACTTGGACTTCCGCCCTCCCCGAATGCGCACCCTTGTTTATGTTTTCTACACGAGCGTCCAGTAAACATCATTATACAGTCCACTCTCTTTCATTTGAAGACCCCGTTTGATCCGGCTCGAAGGACTCTTTCATTTCAAGACCCCACTCAACAGTGAGTTTAGAAGTAATATCGATGCATTAGGCACCTGATTTGAAATGCTTTTGCTTTGAAAATCTCTTAATTAGGTATCAGAGTTAAGCTCATAGCAGACTTATCAACTCTGAAAGGGATCAACGCCGAATCGCCTTTCGCGAGGTGTAAATCGCGAGGCGAGGCGTTTACGTTACGATTTGTTATGTGCGTTGCAGAATGGAGTTTCATACAAAGAATACTGACCGCCTCAAGTTGATTCGGTTACGATCCCTTTCCGGTTTGATAAATGTGCGACATCCTTAAAATTGACATGAGTAGTTGGCCAAATCTATGCAACAAGCCCAAAATACATTGAGGCGGTAAGCTCTGGTAGTGAACCTACAGGAATGCGTTACAAAATCGAAATGCTCCCGGTACTGGTCCAATGTGTTTCTCACTGAGGATTGTTGAAGTTTATGATCTGTATTCAATCTGCACAGTGATATAATTTGTCTTAATTACCTAACTAATTTATATTTCATTACATTATCTTTCGTTAATATTTGTCGCTCACGATTTTTCAAGTTTCTAACATCCTAAACATTTAAATTACTTTTTAGGTGTACTGGAAGGACGGGCGTATTTGCATTCAGCCGAAGCCTCTGCTCGAGGTGCGGGAGCGGGTGCAGTCATCGCTCCGAACCCTGCGGCAGGACATCAAGAGAAACTTGAACCCCACCCCGTACAAGGTAAATTAAATTGTTACTATAAATACTCCAGCAATCTCATCTCTCAGAACGTATAAAATCAACAGAGTTATTATTTCATCATACAATTAAAGATGACTGACTACTAAAAATAACGTGCATGAATCCGGCTATAAATGGTCGTACCTACTCATCACATCATGCTACCATTTTATCACGGTGGGATTCGACCCGCAACTATAGCTGGTAATGTAGGCCGATACGTTAACTACCAGGTCAGGTCTACTAATGGTGGGTTTTTTCCAATCAAATAACAGATTTGATAAGAAAAATATAGGCCGATACGTTAACTACCAGGTCAGGTCTACTAATGGTGGATCTTTCCCAATCAAATAACAGATTTGATAAGAAAAACATAAAGCAAATGTAAATACTTTATTCAGTTTACGTTCTCCCTTCTAGGTGGCAGTCAGTGATGATCTCTACAACTTCATTCACGACCTGTGGCTTCAAAACGCGCCCATCGGAGAGCTTTCGTGAAATTAAATCTGTCGGAGAGACAGTCCAGACGAGTGATCACTCGTATCAATCATTTAAAAAGATACAAAATCATTAATCATGGAAAATGCCTAAAAATACCAAATGAAAGTGTCCCAAGGATTCATTTTGGAACGTAATAATAAGATAGATGTAAGCATTGTGCACAAACACAGTACTACTTAATTTATTTGTTGCATGTTATGTTTATTTGTTACATAGTTTATGATCTTGCCATGCAAATGTGGAACCAAAGTTTAATATAGTGTCACAATTGAAAAGCACCTGTTAATTGGCTTGTTCAGTAAATTACAATGAAAGCGGAAAAATATTTATTATATAGGAATAATATAGGAGGATAAGGAATATGTAATATTCTTGTATCTGTTACAAAGAATATAATTATAGCACTTTAGAATTAATTAATAAGATAAGATAAAGATACATTTACATTGGTACGAGGCATACGAGGTGCGATGTTTTGTTTCATCAAGTAGGTACGTTGAAATCAATGTGAATGTACTTTAACATGTTTCAAAGACAATGAACCTCGGTTTCTCATCAAGTTATCTATAAATAAACTCGAAAACAAATAAACTCGAAAACAACTGAACCATTTCAGCTATATTTTTTTCGTACGTATGTCGTTTCAGCTAGTTGCCATTGATGAGAAACCGGATTCATAATACTTACACTAAATTAATAAATTATTTGGACTAGTCAACATAGTTTTTAAAGTTTAGTCAGTTGTTGGCAGTTGCGTAATTAATTGTATAAGATATAAAGTTTCTGGCACACAGCGGGTACAAGTGCGATCATAAATTAAGCGAGATTTTCAGTCCTATTTGCGTAGGTACGCAAAATTTCTTTTACATAGTGTTTTCGTAAGCGTCTGCGAGCTAGCTATGAGCTGTCAAATCGTAAACGTGATGCGCCCACAAGAGCCTCGCTCTCATACCCGCTGTGTACCACAGGTTTAAAAATTAAAATACCTAATTGTCCTTTCTGCAGCAATAAATAGATTAACATAACTTAGTTCCATAGAACTACGTATGTACCTTTACTATTATATTTCAGTATCTACTACTTTTAAAGTTAAACGGTAAAGGACAAAGGGAAAGGCACACAAATAGTTGAGTTAAGCCATAAAGGTTGTAGGCGTAGGTTTATAGATACATAAAATGTTTGATGTCTAGTAATTCATGATCTAGCACTTATTGTAAGTTATTGATTAAATAAAGATTAAAGTTCTACCGCGGTAAGTGAATTAAATATACGTATAAAAATTAGTTACGCTAATGCTCTTTCGAGCAATTAGCTACCTAACAAATAAGTACTGCACTTTTCAAGCAATCGTAATTTTTAAGTGTTAATTGAATTATTTATATAATCAGTTTTGTTTTTTGTTAGTACTTATCGGTACTTTAAACATGTTTCCTATCTATCCTGATAGGTACCTATAACATCCTTTTTATCCATGGTAATTTCGCATTCCTTAGTATTTGAAGAAATGTAAGTAATAGAATGACCAAATACAGACCATACCAAGTAGTTTAAGATCTTTATGATAAATAGGGTTTCTGTTGTTAAATTATTATTTAGGTAAGTATATCCTATACCTATGAATGTTTTAAGTATAGGGTGGTGATATATTTTACTATTAAAATACTTTGTTAGTGCATTTAGTTGAATCACAGTGTTGGAATATTTTAGCTGTTTACAATTTTAATCATGAAGTGTATAGTGTACGCATTTCAAGTATACAGAGTGGATTTTTGAGACGGATAGGAAAGTAGAGGATTTTTGTGATATATTTTAATTTTAACAGACTGAAATAAAAATATAAAATATAATGAAGATAAATTATTTTAAATAATTTTCCTATAGAATGCAAGTTTACAATCTCTAAAAGTCCGGATGTTTTCTTTTACTTGCATCTAAACCGTTTGTATTTGCCCTTATAGTCCCATAACAAAAATCCACTATGTGCGCATAGGTTGTTTTAACCGTAATGTATAAAACTGATAATTTTCTATTAGTTCTACTTTCCCAAACATAATTTATTTTTAAGTAAGTCGACGTCTGTTACAAAGACTAAAGCGCATTGTCCACCTAATAGAAAGAACAAATATGTATAAGGTTTTAAAATTCGTTGACGCACGTTACAAGTGCGATTATAGTAATTTTAATATATATTTATTTTTATAGATAACATATTTTATACAAAATCTGGAAAAGGTCGAATCAATCAGGCTTAGCGAAAATGTCTACCTCTTATAAAATGTATCTATAGATATTTTATTCACTCTGTTTTATCGAAGGGAATTTATTGTACTTTCGTGGGAAAACCACAAATTGTTTGTTTAAATACACATAACAACGAATATGAAATGTTTTAATATCAATACGAAGACATCATTTGTTTTGCATTATAACATAACTACAAAGGCACATTTTTTTTAAATACATAACTTATGTTTTTCTTAATGTTTGAGACTAGAAAATTAGGGAGCTCAAATCCCTCTTATTACAAAAAATTGAGTAAATAGTACTATATTTTTTCTTATTAATGCAATTTCTCCTTTCTTATTGCAATTTCTTGTTAATTTCTTATTTTTACACTTTTATAATTATAGTTTGCAGGACTTCAGTTTTCGTTTCACTGTATAATTATTTTTAAGCTTCTCGAAATCATTCGAATTTCTTTGTATTTTATTCCTTAAATTTATATAAAGTTTGTACGGGTTACAAGATTTAACACTAGAAATATTATTGAGTACAATGTACAATTAAGCTAAGTACATTCTAGTAGAATCTGCAGCATTAATACGCAATATGATTTTTGTGCCTTCAGTATAAAAATTGTAGAGCTTTTTTCTCTATTATATTAATATGTGAGTAAGGTACACGTAAAAGCTTCTGAAATAGTTATTTATAAAACATATTGAATAAATAAAAATACTTTTATAAAATATTTTAGTTTTATTTATCTACAATCAGTGTCCAAATTTTTATGAGCGACCCAGAATCAGTAGCAGTGCAGTGCATTACATTCTAAGTTCTTTCGTTTCGTTACTACAATGGTCGAAAAGAAGACCCAGGGAAATTATACTTTTGACTCGGACAAGAACTTAACTTCACTTTATTTCCTTCCTTTAAGTATTTGACATTTAAAGTTTTTATTTTCCGATAGCCAAACGTTTCTCAAATATAAAGAGAGTGCTATTAGAATGAAATTACGCTTCAATTTGTTATAATGTGCCTTCATTTTGGCAAACAACAGTAATGAACATAACAAGGAAATTAGAAAAACGACTTTTGATTAAGTTTTTCTACGGTATTATTTGTAGTTTCTGCTATTGTAATAGCAAAAACAAATAAAACTTTTGATTAACTTTCCCATAAAAATAGTTTTATACATATAAATATAAAAATAACATGTGTTCGTCTGCCTGGACACAGAAAATTTACAGTTTCGGCGAAATACCCAAAAGCATTTTAATTGTATGAGTTCGAATAAGTAAGTTTACTACAACTACAAGGGGTTAAAACATTGGTTAAATAAATAAGTAATAATATTTGTGAACTACAAGTTAAAAACATTCTTCAAATCAAAAAATAATAGCTCTCATTAAATAAACAAACCTGGGAGGGATAATGCAAATATAATATAAAATTCGTTGGATGGATAAAGAAAGACAGATACAATTTTGTAATATCTGGCTAAAGCAGTAAGTACAACCCGGTCGAGCACCAGGCGGTGACTTCATAGGAAATGTGCGGTGAGAGTGAGAGGGAGTCGCATTCAGCGAGGTGCGCACTTAACTCGCTCGTTTCGATCGACAATGGCCTACCCCAAGGTTTTCCATTATGAACGGTCCTGCGCTCAAGGTCACCCAAAGGGCGATGGAGCGGGCTATGCTCGGAGTTCTTTTTCCTGCATGATCGAATCAGAAATGAGAAGATCCGCAGGAGAATCAAAGTTGTCGACATAGCTAAAATCAAGTGGCACTAGTGGCAGTGGGCGGGGCACATAGCTCGTAGAGACGATGGCTGTTGAGACAGGAAAGTTCTCGAGTGGCGACCACGGGCTGGAAGACGAAGCGTGGGCAGGCCTCCTAATAGGTGGACCGACGATCTAGTAAAGTTGCGGAAGAGCCTGGATGCGGGTAGTTAACTCAACCGGGTTATAAATGTACAACTATCAAGTACGATTATTATACGATTACAGTACGAGCCGGTATCGATTCCTATTTGATATTTAATAAACTGGCAACATTGGAGAACCATAGACAATAGAGCAGAGTTGGCATCTGTCATCTGTGGCATCCATTATCTGACAAATAACCTAAAACAAGACTGATTTTTTATCATTTTATACCGTAAATAATTAGTGATTTATTGTTTACAAGCATTAATAGTGCACATCAAGAAGTATACATTCATTTACAGTCCTAAGGTAAGTGGTGTATCCTATTTTTATATATTTAAATGATTATTACTTTCCTACCTGCGTAGCGACGACGATAAATTCGTTACTTTCATGGATTTTTTCGCCTCCCTTTTCTCGTACTATATAATACCTACTATAAACTAAATTGTGCGCATCTAGAATGATTTTAAGTTTACTGATTAAGGTACCTAAATCAGAACACTGAGCTATACTTATAAAATAACACTTACACCATCCGGCTACTGTAGACATTGGCGTAAATGTAATTAAATAAATGGCCCGGCAGGCCCGGTGCTTGTATGTATCACAAGCGTTTCTCTATTGCGTGATTCAACTCCTGTCTATTCGTTTTCCATAGCTAGACGATAGCAGGGTATCTAGATAGACTATTCTTTAAAATAAATGTTAGGTGGACAGAACTTTGTCATTTTGGATTATACCAATATCCATCTTCAACCAGTTCGAAAACACATAAAATTATTTTTTATATTAAGCCAATTTTTTGTGTTTATGGCATTTTTATATCCAAATTAATTGTATGGTTTATTTGTTAGTGTATTGAAGTTTGCCAATATCAAAAATATTATCTTCTTCTCTTCTTCTTTTCGTGTCGACAACAAACCTACACAGTGTCAGCCCAAAACTCCGCCACAAGAGTGGCGTTGTCAGTAGCACTCATCAAATCCTCCTGAGTGCAATATTATATTGATGCAATATTATAAAAATATTATATTGATAGGTCATATGATATTACTTCTGCTATAGACTTTAATCAATGTTATTGAAAAAAACAGAAATAGAAATGTCAGAGAACTGTATCATAGTTTGGCAGAAAATATTAATGTTTACTGTGTGTATTTATATGGAAAATAAATAAATAAAT